TCAAGATTTTCCAAATATTCACAAAGAATTAAAGAACGAATTCACTTGGAATTCAGATGCAAATCTTAATCTTTTTCCTTTCAAGAATGTGATGATGATGATGATCTTTTCTCAAAGTATTTCAAAAACGTTTTTCTTCTTGGTTTCACAAAGAAAACTCCCCAAGATTGTCACAAAGACTTCACAAACACGTTTTTTCTAATTTTGATTCTCAATTCTAACTTTGTTTTGAAGTTTCAAAATGGTCAGACTATTTATAAGTTTTTCAGAACCAGATAATCGATTATTTTAAAGAATAATCGATTATTTTGTTCTTCATGATTTCTGGAAATCAACCAAGAACAATTTAATCGATTATTTTGCTGGATAATCGATTATTCCAGAGAGTCATTTCTGGGATAATCGATTATTTCACAAATAATCGATTATTGCAGCAAGGTATCCTTTTTACCTGTTGCTGGAATAATCGATTATATTTAATGATAATCGATTATTTTTAGTTAGTTTTCAAAACTCTATTTTAAGTCTCAAAATAACTTTTTAACCTTTTAAACTCATCATCATACACACCCCTAATCAGATTAGATACAGAATAGGTCATGCACAAAGCACTCACAACAAATAAACTCAATCAAAGCAATCTATAAGCTACTCCTATTACATAACATTTTCCTTTGACTTTGTTTTTGACTTCTAAGTTGTTGATGTCCTTGGTCAGCTTTGTTCCACACATTTGTTATCATCAAAACCTTTAATCTCCATAGGTGATCTCAACAATCTCAATCTCCCCAAATCTCAACAATCTCCCCCTTTTTGATGATGACAAACCAAGCTAAGCTAAGCCATTTTGTCCATTTTGCTTTGCCTTTTTTTTTTTTTACATTGGAAACCTGCAAAACAAACTCAACACAAAACCTTTCTCCCTCTTTGGACATCATCAAAAACAAACCAACATTGTTATGTCTAGAATACACAAGTATGAGCTTCATGCATACTCCTTATATGCTCAGAACAATACCACAAAACTGATTTAACATAACATAGGTATTAGTCAGCCAAAAAAAAACTGTGAACTTGAATCATAATATCCAAGCCATAAGCATCATATCAGCAACAAACACATGAATTGGTCAGCCAAAATCACAAGATACAATTCACAATTCAGAGTCCAAAATCATAATCAAATATGCCAACCAAACATCAAACAACCATATATCAATGTTCAAAACAAAACATCACACCACCAATCAACCAAATCAGAATCATTCAAACCCAATATATCAAAAATTAAACATCAAATTTCAACTGAAATCTAATTTTTCAACAACATAAAGTAATAACATTGTTCCGAAATTAAAGTGATTACAACCCAATCGAAATTGAAATTTTAAAAACCAGAAATTTAAAACTTAAACTTCCTAATTCAAAATCAACATAACAGAACACTAATCACTCTGAGTCCTCAGACATCCCAAGATGAGTCTTAAGTCGGTTAATTTCATGATCAAGGGTGTCAAATCGATCAAGAATACCCGAATATATTGACTCATGCCTTTTAGACATCTCCATAACATCATCAAGCTTATTAATCATAATTTTCTCGAATGGAGAGAATGGTTTAGGCTCCGCCTCTTGCTCTCTGTCAAGTTCAGCTTCGACTTGTGGTGGTTGGTCCTCATCATGAGATGGAACGTCATCCTCATCTGTTGCCGGTTCAGGAGTTGGAGGGACATCTCCTTTGAATACCCACTTATCTTCTTGTTTAAGCCTCCCCATGTGATGCAAGGAAGATTTCTCAATCTTGTTAGACGCATGGAGAATAATCTTCTTCTCCCTTGTCAAATCAACCCTTGCTTTCTCAAAAATTTTAGATAAAAACAAGGCATAAGGAATTGGACCATCCTCTTTCCTTCTGGCCTTCCACATACAGTCATTCACCACCGACACCCAATCAATCTTAATTTTCTTTTTAATAATATGCATCAATAAAATGTCATCCCTTGACATTTGAGCATGGTTGTGTAAACGCGGTTTAAGCATCTAGGCAATAATGAAAGAAATTAAACGGGAATATTTCTTCATACCTCCCGCCAAGAATTTGTTGTAGTTGGTGTTCTCTGGATTTCTCTAACAGTCTCTAAAGGTCGTCAGTTCCTCAAAATCACCAAAATTGAAGGGTTGGGGTTTGGTACTCCCATTGCCACTCATCCCGACAACTGCCTTCAAGGTTGTACCATCAAGCTTTATCAGCTTGCCCTTCACAACTGACTGCATTATCCCTTCATTGCTGGTAGCAAAGCAAAGAAACATCCTTATCAGCTCAGGATAGTAGGGTCCTTCCAATACCAAAAACTTCCCAAGTTTTTGGTGCTCTAGCAGAGTAGGGAAGCTAAACCCTTCATTTTTGAACCATTCCAACTTCAGAGTCTTAGGAGGGATGATTCTCCGACCCGCATACCATTCAAAGTAATATTCCTGGGTTTTCTCAACTGCAAACCATTTAGACATGAGTTGCTCTGAGGGCAGAGGATGCTTGCTCCCCCTCACTTCTAGCTTCTTGGCTCTTTTGATGGAAGAAGCCATGGTTAGGTTTTGGTAGAGGTGAAGAGAATCATTTTAAGCTTCGCAAGTATGAGCTTTTCTAGTTGTTACAGGCATGACATTAACATATTTAGCCATTGTTGCATCTCCATTGAATGTGAGATCAACATCAACAATTTGTAAATCCTCACATGGTACAACCTACTACAAACAAAAACCATTCCTTATTAAGTTCATTAAGCACTCTTAGTATTCTTGAAAGAAATTGCTTATCTTGAATTTGGGTGGATTTTAAGCCATTAAAAGTGAAATAAATGAAATGGAAATAGTCGTAGTATAGAGTAGGTTAATAGATTATTATTAAGTAAAAGATTCTTAATCATAGATTTTTAGTGATTTGATCTCATTTATTGTACATTCACATGAGTTTAGCTGTGTTACTGATCTAATTTATTACTTGAATCAATTTTTTTGTGAAACAAGTCCATCCACTATTCTAATAAGAATGATTAATGTATGATATCAATAGAAAGAAATGAAGTCAAAATATATTTATCATCTGTATCTATGTTTTATATCAATGCAGAAAAGATGCTTAAATATTAAACATTAGTATGTTATTGGACGAAATAAAAGCTTGTTATTTTACCAGCAAAGACAACTTCATTTCTTAATCCAGAAGCATTACACATGTGATGCTTGTCTACGTCCTTCATAATGAAGCTTTTATTTACATAGTATTACAACTACTTGACATCTCCTCATTTTATGGGGATGACTTATCAACTTTGAATAGGAAAAATTCACAAAAAAATAGATTAAAAAAATTGTATAGACATCATTTCAACAAGTCCTTTTATGCTGCACAAACAGGAGCTTTTCCAGTTATTATAGGCTTGACATTAGCACATTTAGCACTTGTTTCAGCTCCATTGAATGTGAGATCAACATCAGCAATTTGTACTTCTTCACATGGTACACCCTTACTACAAATAAGACTCATTCCTTCTTTTGTTCCTGAAGTGCCCTTAATGTTCTTGAAAGAAACCTTGCTTATCTTGATTTTGGATGGTTTCTAAGCCATTAAAAGTGAAAAAATGAAATAAAAATTAGTCTTTTAGGTTATAAAACCTTTTTTCTCATCTCAATATGTTATGTCAGCAATTCTAGCGTTAAGCTTTAATTTGCATGCTTAACGTAAGACAAAGATCAACTAGCACAAAGCCCATGGGATTATGACACTAAGCATGGAACTCAAATTCTCCTCTAGAAGGTTAATGATGGGTGTGAGTTTCCACACTTAGTGTGGAACTTGAAATTTCTCAAATGATTCTCAATCAGGCTAAGATGAGCGTGAGACTAAGGCTAAGCGTAGAGACTTAGGCAAAGATTTCTTCTCTCTTGAATCTTCACCAATTGTCACTTTGCTTCTCTCAATGTTTACCAACCTTCTTCTCAACTACAAAATAACAACAAAAAGATTGTAAGTAACCTACTAGTGTGAATTAAAGACTATAGTTAACTTTCTACAAATTTGTTATCATCATTGCTAAGTGTACCAAATCGTATAAGTAGTTTAATGAAAGTATGAGTATCGTCTCCCAAGGGACTTGTGCAACACTTCACAAATTCACTTGTTATACTAACTAAGCTACCAAAAAGCAAAAAGAATTTGATTTGTTACAGTAAATAATGTAAGCAAACAATATGAAATGTTATAAGAATTCATTTTGGTATTTTTGTAAATACTTAGGGTGCAAAACTTGATTCTAAAACAATATTGTAAATACTTAGGGTGCAAAACTTGATTCTAAAACAATATTAATAAATGTTGGGGTTTGACTTCATTAAACCTTCCTCTCATGTTTATCACTAAGCTCACAATAATCATCATTTAGAATTTATCAATCACTCTTAAAAATAACCAACCCTAATCCCTTACAAGTTGACATCTAAGTTACTAAATTAACCTATCAATTCCTTGCATAGTTTAACCAAGAAACCAGTTTTCAAAACCAGAGCTTAAGAAAGACTAATGGCGTTTACTTTCAGGCATGACATTAACATATTTAGCCATTGTTGCATCTCCATTGAATGTGAGATCAACATCAACAATTTGTAAATCCTCACATGGTACAACCTACTACAAACAAAAACCATTCCTTATTAAGTTCATTAAGCACTCTTAGTATTCTTGAAAGAAATTGCTTATCTTGAATTTGGGTGGATTTTAAGCCATTAAAAGTTAGGTTCAACTTGTGATACAAAACCATAGTATTGCAAAATTCTTAATGGCGCTTCTAGTTGACACTCCCTTACTAATATTTCCAATTATATTATCCATTGATAAGTCCCTAGA